ATATATCCAGAAAGTTCATGGATTACAGATACAAAAACAGCATAGTAATATTTTCATCTCAGTCTGAATTTCAATTGATTAAAAATGACATTCAGAGTTGTTTAATTTTTTTGTTTTTAAAGAGAATAATCACACAGTTCAATAATTGTGACATTGCTAAAAACTTTATATACAGTTTATAATTATTTTATTGGCTTAATAAGCATATAGATTTCCTTATAAGCATTTCTTTCATACCCTATTTAAGGTAGGTTTAGTCCGATTGTTTGAGGACTACATGCACATTTCAAAGATGAAGGGAATTAAAACATCCATGGTTTTAGAAATTTAAAAAACAAAACAAAACAGGGGTAATATTGTTTTAGATTTTCATTTAGTCTTCCTTCTTTATAAGTGTATATATTCACATGTATGGCAGTACTGGCAATCCAGAACACTGAATGCAGAACACTGAGGATTTTAGGCAAGTGAGAGCTCTTTCACTGAGATATCCCCTTGCCTTGCACTGTCTATACAGACTGTCATTTCACCCCGCGACATTTTACATTCTGCTCCTCACATCTCACAAAAATTTTCCTATACCTCCAAATACTTTACAAAAATCATTTTATTTTTATTTTATGTGTGTGGGTGTTTTGCCTGGATGTATATCTGTGCACCACGTGTGTTCCTGGTGCCCATGGAGGTCAGAAGAGGGTGTCGGATCTCTCGGAACTGGAGTTACAGATGCTTGTGAACCACCTTGTTGGTGCTGAGAATTGAACCCAGGTCCTCTGCAAGAGCAGCCAATGTTCTTAACTGCTGAACCATCTCTCCAGCCTCTAGAAAAATAATTTCAATGAAAACCATCTATGTTAAATATGATTGTCACCATGTCATTAGTTAGTTTATACGCACTAATTAAGTCTGTTTTCTATACCTGCTGTTGTTAATATATATAAACAAGATTTTAAGGAGGTATACATACAAATATTGAATTACCTTTGTATTATTCATGACATGTTTATATTATCTAGAAATGTATGTTTATCTTTAAAACCTCATCACCTGCCTTGTCATAGAGAAGCTCACATGTGGGTTCAACCATTGTAGTAAAGAGTCTGAGAATAGTTCAACATTCTTGGGACCAGAGTCACATTGCCAAATGGGAATTGTGGCAAAATCTGCGAGCTGTGTGCTGCTTCCAGGAGTGGGAATCAGGTAAGACTGCCACTAATATGTCTGGGTCTCAGGCTAAAATGATGATGGATATGAGAGTTGTCTTCTTCTATTCACTTTCTCTTCTGCTGCCAGAAGAGATTTCACTACTAGATTCAAGTATTTCATCTTTGTTTTGCTTATGGGATGGCTTCCTTAAGTAGCTAAGGCAACTGACGATTCCCCTGCCTCTGACGGTTAGGGTTAGAGGTACAGAACCAAACCCAAATCAAATTACTTTTTAACTGTCCATTGTACTGTTCTATGGTGCTACTTAAAATGAAAATCTGTCTCACTTTTTTTAATGTGGTTTATACCTATTTATTAGGTTTTAATTTTTTGATTTCCAGAAATGCGACTATCAGGTATGAGAAGGTATTTGTCGGACCTTCCTTGTGGCACTCTGTGATTTGGAAAAGGTTTATTGTGCTGTATTGCAGAGTGCGATGATTTTATTGAGCACACATGCCTCTTAATAAAATTGAGTGTTTATTCCTTTTAGCAGTTCTAAGGGGAAACTGTTGATCACAGGAAGTCTATTTCCCCATAAGCTTAGAAACATTTCTAATTGTTTTTGTTTCCTGAGTGATGTGGTCCCAAGGTTAACTTTGAAAACTGGGGCAATGCACTTTTTATCCAAACAGATGGTCTAGTTTTCAGCCTTTCAGGTCTAAGAGAAGTGTTCCCCGGACATCTAGACATTATTGCTTCTAAAGACAAAACTCTCCTCTCCCTTATTCCTGCCCAATCAGATGCCTATTATGGGTTACTTTTACATTTCAGTGTCTAGAAACTATATATGTAAGATAGAAATATGTTATAGTAGGCAGCTATAAAATATCTTCCTTACTGGCAGCTGTCTTACACTGTCCATAGCTATGTCTGCACGTGCAGATCAATTCATATCTATACTCTAAACCACAGATTCCAAGCAGCATTTGTAACATGCATAATAGCCATTTCCTTGTGGTTTTTCCAAGGAATCATTTTGGGATTCTCTTATTATGCAAGTAACATCCAAAGATGATTTTTTTTTTAAATAATTGTGTGTGTGCGTCTGTGTGTGTGTAAGTGTGGGCATGCTTGTGAACATGTAGACGTAAGAGCACTACACTTGGGAGTCAGTTCACTTCTGCCACCTTGTGGGATCTGCGTGTTGAACTCAGGTCATTCCCAGGCTATGCACAAACACATTGACCCTCTAAATTTACCTTGCTGTCTCAAATCTGAATTTTCAAATACTCACTTCTATTATTTCCTCTGGAAATTGGCAAACAAATTATTGATGATTCAGAAACCAAATTTAGGGCTTTGGTTTTTATTCTACTTTCTAGCTAGCTCTTTTCCTCTTTTTTTTTTTTTTTCCTGAACAGCAATTATTCTTCCTTAAATTAATTCCTAAGAATAGCTCCTTGAGCACAGCAGCTTGAGAGCTAGCAGAGAAGAAGGGCAGGGAGGTGCTGAGTCTTGACAAACAGCAATTGGACATGTAATTAGAGGTGCTGGCTGGGTTAGGCTTGCCAGAGAAGCCACCTCAGAGCTCAGTGCTAAAGAAAACGGGCTTACTGACATTGCTAAAAATCAAGGGTTGAGTATCATCAAACATTTATCTAGTGCCCCCTAATGGCAATGCCCAGTGCTAGATGATGAAGGAATATAAAGAATAAACTGAAATACAGGTCTTCCTGTAAAAGAGCCCTGGGTTTGGGAAGAAAGGTGTAACAGGATATATTCACCCAAACATAGTATCCACCATCTAACTATGTGAGCATGAGAGACAAGCCAGAGAAGAGCATAACAATTTAATCTGTGCTGGGGCCGAGGGAGCTTTGTCCATTTAATTTAGGCTAAACTTGGCAGGGGTGTTGTGCCACTTGCTGGTCTAGTCGTTGAAACTCATTCTTTATGCTCTTCCTTTCTAATCTCTGTCTCACTACATGGCATCTCATGGGCTCTAGCACCCACATGGACAGGACTGAGAAAACGACCATCTCTTCCAGTCTCCTCTCCCTGGGCAGCATTACTGGCCTTAGCTGTGTCTCCTGCATGGCTTGCGCTCCAACCAGACACAGGTGCTGTGTCTTCAGCTTCAATTTAGTTGCCCAAGACTCTGACAATACCTGTGGCCCTCCAGCTTTGGAACATGCTTTCTCTAGAGATTTATCTATTCTGTGCTGGCATGATGATTCTTCGGCTTTTTAGGCAACAAATACTGTTTTTAATCACTTCTATGTAAATTAAATAGGGACTTTTTTTTTCAGAATATGAAAATTTATTACTGTGTTTCCATTGTCAACATTTACGATCTTGGTCTTTCCTTCTTGCCTTTGTACAGGGCCAAGAGAGACACATTGGCTACCTTAACAACCTTAAAGCGGACTCCAGGAATATCACCTACAGCATGACCTTTCCGACCAAATCCAGCAACCAGAACTTCATCGTTTTCCTCAATGAAGTTCAAGCAGCCGTCATTGGGCACGAACGCTGTGATCTTCTTGCCGTTCTTGATCAGCTGCACCCTCACACACTTCCGGATAGCAGAATTTGGCTGTTTGGCTTCAACTCCTACTTTTTCCAGCACAATTCCCTTTGCATGAGAGGCACCCCCAAAAGGATTGGCCTTCAGGGCTGTGCCCAAGTGGGCTTTCTTGTATTGTTTATCATGCCACTTCTGGTCCCGTCGGTGACTGCGGAGCTTCCTGAGGCCTACGGAGACCACGACACTTGCCCATCTTGCCGGCGCCACGGGCCCGAGAGAAAGAGAGAGTCGGTGTAGGAAGAACCCACCGACTTATTTTTTTTTTTTCTTCACCTTGACTGACATGAGTAATGGACCACCCCTACCTAGACAGACAGAAACAGCACACTTTCTGGCCTATAATCAGAGCACTTGATTTGTGAGGTTAAAGTCAGGCTAAAAATAGTCAGGGTTCTCATGCATTCTGAAACGGGGCTAATTGGCACCAACATTCTAATCCCAACAGACCTCTGTGGAGGCAAAGGATGTTTTAATATTTGCAGACCGAATATAAAGAACAACATATATGCAGTGAGATTTCAATTACGTGGACAAGCCAAGAGACTGAAGATCTTTGGATCTAGTCCACACTTTTATCTTCCACTAATTTCAAACCACCTATGCGACTCTTTGGGGAATGACTCACCCACCGAGAATGTCAAAGCTGGAAGGGGTCATCTTCCTCCTCATTATCTGCAGGAAGCCACTGCAGCCTGTGTATGTGGAGCAATTTGCTCAAGGTTGCACAGCAGGCATGGCCAGATGTAGAAGCCCCTACCCCAGTTCCAAATGTAAAGCCCTTTCTACCCTACCCTAGGATCGCTTAGCATTGCTCCAAGTGCCAGCTCATTGCATCCAGGTTCTGTCCTTTGGTAACTACAAGGTCTTGAACTGCTATGTTCCCTATGAATAGTGTAAAATTTTGAATTGAAAATATTGAATTAATAATGAAAATATTACCCATTCCAGAGTAGTATTTTTTTAGTGAGTTTAAGTGCAACACAGCACTTTAACAAAGTGATAGGAACTGTAACAATCAACTAGAGTGCAAATGGAATTCAGGAAGTAGAGAAGTTTGTGAGTAAAAAAAAATCTCAAGGGTTCAGAGTTAAATTTATTTTCACACAATTAGCATTTATTAATCTTGTAACTATGTCATTTAAAAATAAATCTAAAGCATGTTTTGGAATTAAATAAACACATCGAGACCAAGACTTTAGAGACATTATCTGTTTAATAAATATGATTGTAAAAGCAATAAACAAGAGCAATTATACATTACACTACATAGTATTTAACAAAAAATACATCAAAAAAGTCATTTTAAAATTAGAAGTAGTTCCAATACTATAAGAAAACTTTCTTTTGTTTTATTTTTAAATTGGCTTCCTATAAAAATAAGTTGGCAAATGAGGGGTTTCAATGCTCAGTTGGAATCCTGGAAAACACAGAACAGCTGCCAAGCACCCCATTGCTTTCAGAGTTGCTGTTTGGAACTTCTGAAAAAAAGCAAAGCAAACCTCTGCAATTTGGACAGTGAATCCAATTAGAATAAGGCAAGGGGGAAATGAGGGTGGGTAGATCAGGATAGAGCATGCACAGTCTGCACTCCGGGCTTTTTAAAGGATGTTGCATTATCTAATTATTAGCTTGCCCCGAATCTTACCTCCTGTGTATTCCTCCCTACACTCCTTTGGCCTTAAGTCCACCAAACTCCTCATTGTGTTTGCACCTGCTATTAGTGAGAGGTAGGCACTTGGGTCCCTCCCATTTGTAGGTTCTCAATGTTACTTTCTCATCAGGAATCAGCTGCCAGGCCTGGTATGGTGATTCTCAAACTTGAGCCTATATCATAATCATCTGGATGACTTGTTCAAACAGACGTTTGGGACCACCATGACCCATAAGCAGAAAACATTACTATTGATTCCCTAGAATTTAAAAAAAAACAGCAAGGTCTGTTTTAGCCTGATTTGAAACTGCATTTCACACAAGTACAGGTGACACTGATAGTGTTGTCTTAGGCATCACACCTTGAGAGCCTCTAGTCAAAGTTGTAGGAACCATGAGGTCCTCTCTAAGCAGTGCCTTGCCTCACCAATCACCTACAGGTGGGAGGGAGCTTGAGGAGAGAGACACATGAGGACACTGAAGAGGCTGAATCTAATGCTGACCACTTAGGTCACTTCCCAGGGTGCCAGGAATCTCATGCTCATCTCTATTTTAAATGAAGACATACAGCCCCTTCTTCCCTGTGTCTCTTCATTCACTCACTGTCATTTCATTGACAAATAATTTTAGAATATTATTCTAGGCAAGGCACTGTGCTAGATCAAGAGTGTTCTTTATTTTTAATAATGATTTTTTTTTTAAATTAGAATACATTGAACTGCAACGCTGAGGATTCCCTGTGCTGGTTTGAGTGAACCGAAACTATTTTGGTTTCCAAATACTTTCTCTTCCAGACTAAATATGGAAGACTCCAGCTGAAGAGAATCAATGAAAATGTTTCCTATGAGATAGGAAGCTTGGAAGGTTGAGAATTGATTGATTACTTCCCAGGAAAAATTGACTATGCTAATTCACATGGGACACCCTCTACCATCAAGGTTTCTGACTGATTAGCCTCTGGCAATTGCTTTCCTACTTTCCCCTTGCTTCAGCCATACAAGGCAGGGGTCATCTGATCACTGAATCAGCCATACAGGGCAGGGGTCATACTGATTACTGGAATACACCAAGGCCCTGGACAATACCCTGTTGTTGGCTTTGGGACATAGCCAAGAAGGAGGCTAGGTTCTAGAAGTGGTTTACCAGAATATCTTTCATCCCAACTTGAATATGGGCTTTCCCAGTTCACAGTAGTGAAGGGACGTCAGTCATTAAAAGGACCTGAACAGGAGCACAAGCTCTGCTCCTCTTTCTGGGCTTCTTTCATGATTCTTCTGGGAAAACTGGTTTTCTTTTGCTTTGAGGCCATGAGGGTGTGAGCCTTACTTTGCTGTAAGCAGCTATTCTTCCTTTATATTGATATTTTTTCTTCATAAATGCCATGACAATTGAAGGTAAGAGAACACACACGGAAGCAGTGATATCATCTTACATGGTCAAAACCTCATCGCAATATACGAGAAGATTGACCTGTATATGCTTTCCAGCACTTATGTATTAATCCCATGAACCTGCTTCTCCTTCTGGTTAAATATCAGTTTTATTTTACAAATGTGGTTACTCAAGAGAGAATATATCAGATTACAGCAGCTATCACAGAAGATATTTCCTTGCATGATAGTCACACCGTCAAAACTTTTCTCAAGAGAATCTCCTGGAATCGGACCACCTAAGTTTTTGTGAATTGCCCAAACAAGCACTGTTCATCTATATGCTTTCCTTTCCAGGTTTGATTGCTTTGCGTGTGTCAACTGTTTTATGTACAGTTTACGTTTCCAGGTTGGCAAGACAGAGGTATTTGGCAAAGGGATATTCTAGAGGAAGAGATAAAGGAGAAATGTAACTGAAGCCAGCTGGGCAGGCTGCAGCCTGGCCAGAGCACAGGAAACCTGGCATGCGTGGGAGTGTACAAAATTGAGAGAGCTGAAGACTTGAGAGGAGTCAGGGGTGCCATAAGCTGGACCACATTTAGGAAGTATGAGGTGAAATATCCAAAATCTAGCAACACCTTTGAGGAGAAAAAAATGAGAGGAGTGGAAAGATAATGGGAGATAAGGAGGAAACAACTAAAGGATGTAAAGAGAACAAGTCCACATGTGGATGGCAAACAGATGGGAAGGTAGGAGAACAAGTAACTACTGGGGAAAAAAATTCCCACTTGTTGTCTTTGTTTTTATATTACTTGGGGCAGGAATAGGGAAAGTGTCAAGGAGAAAAGTTGAGCAGGAAACAAAGGTCCATTTCTGAGATGCTTTGCTTCCCAGGCCCTCTTATGTTCCTATTGAACCTGCATACATGGATATGAATCTTTAACTAGCATCTTCGTCCCTGTGGCCACAGAGAACGGAGAGAAAGCAGCCTTTGGTCACTGCTGACCAACAGAGCCACTAACACTAACTTAGAAACGAAAAGTGACACTAAGCAAAACAGAGAAGCAGCTCAGGGTTTCAGAGCTCTGTGCATGTCTTTGTGTCTTAGGAAAAGGCTGGAGATGGCTAATCCACCATCAGCCCATAGTGCTAAAATAGGTGTTAAGTCTAGAGCCAAGAATATTTCCAAAAAAATACATGCAGATTTCCTTGGCCTGTATACGTTATGAATTTTCTATAAACACGACCGATCAGAAAAAGAGAAGAGAGGGCGAGGGGAGTGTTTTCCATTAAAATAGAGCACCTGTACACTGCCCCTCCAAACGTGTTCTCAAGGTATTGTCCACATGCACAGGCTTAAAGCTAAAAACCCTTGTTGTCTGTGTCTGAAGAATTTAAACGTCCCAATGCAGTGAGTGTTATTTGTTATTTTAGATTTTGATTGCATTTATTTTATTTTTTGTTTGTTTTACTGGCGTCCTTCATTCAAACATTTACATAGGTAGGGATTTCTTTTGTGCTTTGATTCTCAGCAACTATGGAAATATTTCCTGGCAAAATAGGAAACAGAACAACAGAAGAAAAAAAAAACCATAAAGTTAGTGGTCACGAAGGAAGATGTACTTGACAAGAGTGAAATTCTCTTCTGATCAGCGGGCCTCCTGTAGCCTTTGGGGTCTTTTCTTAAATGGCAAATTGTGCCCCAGCAGATCCCCGCTTTGGCGATGAAGGTGGAGTGGCTTGTCTTGGTCTTTGCAATCGGAGAGATGAGTCGCCGGGTTGAGCAGAAGGGGAGGGAGGGGAGGGTAAAGCTACTCTCCTAAGAGAAAACGTGTAACACTTACTCATTTAATGACACTGGAAATGGAAAGGTGTCAGAGACTGCAATGTGCAGCAAAATTTTGGTAGCGAAGGAAGAATTGCTACTTTAATAAAGAGCCACTGTGATTCATACCACACAGAAATGGAGACAGAGAACCAAACAACCCCCTAAATAATGCAGCATTTCAGATGCTTTAGAGGCGAATAGACAGATTATGTGGTGTTACTCTGGACAGGAAGACAGAAAAGCTTCTATACTTTTTAACCCAAAGCTATTGTGCCTTTTTATTACCCTGGCTTCTCCAAATGAAAGAAAATGAACTGTGAAAATTGGACACCAGATGTGGCTGCAGTTGTTATTATTATCTCCGGCTAGTGCTACTCATTGCATTTAAACTTCCTCTAATACAGCCACAGACCTCTCTCTTATCCATTTAAGAGAGGATTCTCTTTCCATCTGCAAACTTTTTTCCAAGTAACAGATTAGAAGTCTTTTATATAAAGGCCGTGTAGGTGATCTGGCATCACAACATTAGCATGAAGCATGAACTATAATATAATTTCTCCATTTCAGTAAGCCACAGACAGTATGGCCCAAAGAGGGAAAGGATTTGGCCGTGGTGGCTTCATGAGTTTGTCAGAGTTGTCAAAAACTTTCATAATATCATAATATTTACCAACTGAGCTTTAGGCTTACTCCAGCTAGGTATCAGACTCTCATGTTTAGATCACAAGCAAATAAACCTGCACTGACATCTGTTGTCAAAACTTCTAGTCAAAACAGAGGAAGGCATCTGTCTGCCCCTCTGCAGTCTAACTCTCCAACTGGTCTCTCAGCACCCCCAAATACTAAGTATTCTGCAAACTGCCTGCCCCCTTGTCCTCATGTTCTCAGTTTCCACATTTTCAGGGTGATAGTTTCAAGGCAGCCACTGGACTAAAATGAAACAAAACAACAAAAACCCCTCCCTATATGGTTGGGTTAGCCAATGTCCATATGGCAGGCTTATCTGGCGTTCTTAGAATTGTCTGTGGTAGAGACTGCTATGTTTTGTACAATCCACACCTTGTTTACCTCCTGACTTTCTGCCCACCTCTCCCAGACTCTGAAGCTTTTCCTTCTTAAATGGCATTAGCGAAAAGACTATGCTCGTTGCTCATATACTTCTGGAGCTTAGTATTTTAGAAATAGATTTTTTTTTTTAAACGGGAAAATTTAATAGAGAGGGAAAAAAGCTAAAAAAGAGCAAGAAAGGGGCATCTTAGCTGTTTCTCTCAAGTGTGTTAGAGCAGGAAAAAAGTGGTTATGTGAAGCCAGCAAGGGGTTAGAGGGTGGTTAGTGTCAACTACTCAGCCTGAGCAGCGGGGGACCACCGGCACCATTTACCTAGAATCTGTGATTCCACCTTCTCATCTACAAGCTGGCCAGGCCTCCTGAGGTCAGGGTGAGGAACACTGGCCCTGCTCTCATTGTGACTGACTGGACTGGTCAGCTCTTGTTCTTTCTCATTTTGCATCTGGGCATAAACATTAATCCCCGGGATCTTCCTAGAACATTAACAGAAAGCATCACTGTTCTGTACCAGAGGTGAGGTTCACTATGGTTTATTGCTTCTGAACCTGTCAGAAAGAGGAAAGAGGTGGGGGGCGAGGGGGATGGAAGAGTGACCACACACCTTTTAAACTTGTAGATGACGAATACGGCTAGCCCCACAAACAGCACCGAGAGCAACATCAGCATGGCGGATCCACTGTGGGTTGGCGTGAGGTCCACCAGTGGAGCTAGAGGAATAAACAAAGCACAGACATTAGCAGAGACTTGAGCAGGAACATATTGGTCGACAGACAAGCTTGGTAAATCACAGGAGACCCTGTGGGCTATGCAGGCACGATGGATGGCCCACAGCTAAGCCGGCATCTGAGTGTGCCCCAGTCCCCAGAATGCTCCAGCTGGTCTAGCCAAGCGCTACAGTGGAACAAGGAAAAACAGCCGAGGCCCTTGCTCTACTCAGCCCATTCCTAACTGTACAGACTTGGGCTGGTTGCCTCACTTTAAAGCATCATATGTAGCTCTAAGAGAAGCACACACCTCACTGGATGGCTGTGTTGTATCTACTATACCTGCTTTTCTATCTCTTTATTAATATTTTCTCTTACTAAACTGTTGGTGCTGTCATTATTATTAATTAGACAATAGTGTTATTGATGGGAAACATCTTGATAAATTCTAACATACTCCATGCTGCCTAGGTAAGCCCACCATCAATGTGCTCAGAGCCCTTAAAATTGCCTATTATTTTTTCTTTTCTTTTCTTTTCTTTTTTTTTTTTTGAGACAGAGTCTCTCTTTGTAGACTTGGCTGTCCTGGACTTGCTTTGTAGACTAGGCTGGCCTCAAACTCACAGAGATCTGCTTGTCTTTGTCTCCCCAAGTGCTGGGATCACAGGCATGTGCCACTGTGTCTGGCTGGTAAAAGCACCTTAATAACCTTATTTTAAAATAAAACATTAAATGTTTTATGTTATCTACTTAGTACTATACTAAAAAGGTGTGCCAGAGCGGCTCTGTGGGTGTGCTTCCACACTGCTGTTAGATAGAAACATGGTAAGCCTAGCTATTCTAGTCAGCGATGCTCTACATTGGTGGTGGTGTTAATGTTGTTATTCTTCTTATTCTTCTTATTATTATTTTCCTATGCATTGTGCGTTAGCTTTTCTCACTAAGCACAGTGGAAAAGCAGTCAAACTATAAATAGGAATTGTGTGTGTGTGTGTGTGTGTGTGAATGAGTTTATGTTTGCTTCTGTGTCAGTGTGAAGGATTAGCTATATATGTCCCTACCTTGAAAGTTTCAGGACACAGAACTGGAAAGCTGCTATGGAGCATGCTTCTGTTGTTTTGCTCTTTTATTTTGTTGTTTTTATGAACACACAAAGCTAATAAGTTAATGCTTGAAAAGGTCAATGCCCTGATGATGGGGAAGAGGTGTTCCATGCAATGGGCTCTACAATTCTAAAATTCATGGCACTCTACCCCAGGAACACCAGCACCTCAAGCGCACGAACTTCCTCACAAAGCTGAAATCTCTGCATGCAAAAGACCTCCTGTCTGAGTTTCCTTTACAGGGCAATTCTAGGAAACATCTCTCCCCAACTCCAAATTTATTCTTCAGGGTCAAACTTCTTGCACTTGTAATGACTGTTTGCAATTAATTTTTACCATATCAAGAACTGACATTCAACAAATGTGGTATAGCTCAAGCCTGAAAACAATCCGCCTGTACCTTGTGGAAGCATGGACAGTGACCTTTACCTTCCATCAATTTAAGCAAAGTCCGATACCCAGAAATGCAGGTGACCTTTAAACACCTTTTCTATGACTTTTCTCTGTCGACAGCAAAGAGGGTGATGGTCTGGTCATCCAAGCAGAAAAGTTCAAGAGTAAATGACTACAATATTAATGGTTTCAGACAAGACCCGTGGTTGCATCTGCTCTTTCTGATTTTTGAAAGATTGTATTTCAGCAAATACTAGAAAGCATATTTTGTATGACTATAAAGTAAATTCAAATTAAAAGTCTTAAGCTTCTTTCTTAGAAAATGGGCTTAATTTATTCAGGAAGATCCACTCTTACAGACACTAAATATAAGGAACACGCTTGTTCTCTCGCCTCTGGAAGCCCAGCAGCTTGGTGCAGAGGAGCATGTCCTCTCTGGTGTGAGAGCCAACAGAGCAGCCTCAGTGCAGTGAAACACCCAGAGCCAAGGCACTTGACACTCAAACTAAGAGAATGAAGCCTTTGGTGCTATCAACAAAGCCCAGAAACGCATCTGAGTGCATGTTGCTATTGTTAGACTATCACGGGGGAAAAGAACACTTGTTGTTAAGATTTCTCCTGCCTGTTTTTAACAGATGGAAGAAAGGGGCTGTCAATCACATGACACAAACAAAAGCAATTAAGTACTCAGAGCTGAAGGCCACTCGACAGGATGTCAACTAGTTAATGCAGAAAGAGAAAGAGAGAGAGACTCAAATCTGAGCCATTCAAACACACACAAATATCCACAATGTTATATGCCCCATCTGGTGTAAAAATCCAAGAAACTAAAAAGAACATTTCTCAGGAAGGGGTTAGGCCCAAGGTAGTAGATGGCATAGGAAGAAAATTCAAAAGTGACATGAGTTAGAATACTATGCTTTAGAAGGAGAACTCAGGATCCTAGATCTTACACATTTAAACTTTGATGAGATACATATGTGTGTGAAGAGACGAGTCATGGACAGACAGACAACAGACAGATGATATAACAACTGTCATCTCACAACCAATCTTGTTATCTCCATATTTGTATACAATGCCCACAAGCTCAACCACTGTATTGTTTTTAAGCTGCCTCCTCCACCTCATCCTTCTTTGTATCACAATATCAGTATCACATGAAAGGAATAAGAATATAACGTAAAGGTAACATAAGGTAAACCATTAACTTTTCAGTGAACAAATGGTGGTCCAGGGGTTCATGGATGATGAGGACAGTCAGAGGCATGAATGAAGTGAAAGTCTGTATATCAAGCAAGAGCACAAGCAGAACAGAAGTGAGGTGTAGCCAAGAAAACCACAGAGCTTACTTAACACTTGACATTTTTTGTTAATATTTTTTCCTCTTGAGACAGAGTCTCTCTATATAGCCCTGGCTCTCCTGAAATTTTCTATGCAGACCAGCCTGGCCTCAAACTCACAAAGTTCTTCCTGCCTCTGCCTATCTCCTAAGTGCAAAGATTAAAGGTGTGTGCCACAAAGCCTTGTGCAATGTTCGAAATACATGGAAGATAGTAAGAGGGAATTACCTTAACTTTGTTCTTACTCAGATGAATGGAAACACACATACACATGCGTGCACACTCGACACACCTGGACGCCATTTTACTGATCCTTGCTTCCACCTCCCATTGTGTCTCTACTTTCTCCGCTGACTTTTCCAGGCTTCTATCATTCACACTCAGATCATCATTTTTAAGGAAGCAGCATTAATATTGTTGCATAATTATCACCTTCTTTGGAGAATATTAGTTTCTATATTTTGAGTTCTACAATGTGCTATCCATTTCATCCCCCAGTTCTACATCTCATAGCTACTCCTTGGAGGCAGAAGAGTAGCAAAGAACCAACAGCAGTGGGGAGATTGTGTTCCTTGTGTAGCTTCTGCTTGCTAATCCGTGCCTGCATATAAAGGTGTTTATTACTGCTCCACACAGCCAGACTCACAAATCTTAATTTTCCCAATATTCAGGTGTGTTTACATGCTTTGCTAAGGAGTGGAGACTAGGAATAAGTGGATTTGGGCTTGTTGTGTGGAATTAGCATAAATTAGTCCATCTCCAGCTGCAGCATCAACAAGGCAGATGTAAAGAAAAAAGGCTCTGAAAAGGTTTTGGCCATTTTAAATGCACAGTGTATAACATGAATACAAGCATTACTCCAGGTGATTGGACATCCCATGCCTGTGCTCACATGCCATTTCTAAAACCCTATGAGGAACTTGACAATGCTTTGAATTATTTTACTCTATTCACAAGGATCTGGGTTAATTAGAATAACAGAACTATTACTACATCCATAAAAGAGTGATTGGCATATAGGAAATGTTAAATACGTAGCCATTGCTCTGCAAGTGAGAGCAAAATCAAAACTTCATAGTTGGGGCTAGATATCTTTTTGGGGGGCTAGATATCTTAAAAACTCTCCATAGAATCAAATTCTGGGTCTGCCATTTTGGGCTAACTGAATTTACAGAAGCTCAAATTCCTCATTTGAAAAAGGCAGGTGAGAATTATCTTTACTTTAGTAAAGTTGTGAAAGTCAAAAGAGATGAAAATGACTGTGATGTTATCCACACACCAGACCCAGCCAGTAGTTTATGCTGTCCTATTAGTATGCTATATTCCTGAAAGTACGCTCTCCACAAAGAGTTCTGAAAGATGAGGCAAGAGTTTCTCGCTGCAGTCAGTTTGGGGAATGGAACTTTTGGCATTGCTCCACCTGGAGATTCCTGTTGCATATCAGTGTGTGAAAGGTGTCCAGTCATGCAGGATGGAAGCCCAGTTAGCCACAACATAACTTTTCACACACTCTTTCTACCACAGACCCTTTTTAATGTTTAGGTCTGTTCTGCAAGAGACTTTCTTGAAACATTTCTCCTCCAATGTTACTGCTTTGAGAAACTGCCGAAGCAAGCACACTCTGATTTTCAGTTTGTTTTTTTTTCCTTTCTGCCTCTGAAGCAGCCTTGGCCCAAGGCTGTATATTTAATACCTGAAATGTAAAATTTGTGGAGACCAAATGTTTGAAAGAATATGTGTGTGTGGGGGGGAGGGTATTAGCTATTTTGTCTCTTGCTGGAAATAATGGCTGACCAGCGTAACCTAAGGATGGAAACATTTATTTCGGCTACCTGTGCTAGGGGAAGTTTATGACTGTGAGGAAAGCATGGTGACAAGAACAGTGATGCTGGCCACACTGTGCCCATGTTCACGAAATAGCATGGATTCTGGTGCTCAAATCCTTTCACCCATTTTATTCAGTCCAGAGTTTCAACCCACGGCACAATGCAGTGCTCTGCTAAGGTGGATCGTCACACGGCAACTAACCTCATTTATGTAATCTACCACAGATGTGTTCACATAAGTTAATCTACACAGTCCCTCATGGACATGTCCAGAAGTGTCTCCTAGGTGACCGTAGATGCAGTTGGGTTGACAGAGGGATTAAGGTGATGTAACAATA